CAACACAACAAGTACCAATGCTCCCCGAATCCATACCCTGTCAATAATAGAACAAAGCATTTTGTATAGTTTCAGCTCTCACAAATAATCAAAAGTTAATATTGTTTTTCAAATGTAAAATTAATAATTAAACATTTCAAAAAATAATATAATTAAATTGTCAGCATAACCACAAAGCATAATATTATAAAAGTAATGTAACTAGCACTCAGACAATCTCATGCAGAAAAATTTTTTATTTGTTTGAAGTTAAGCTACACAATGGACTATCTGTGCTCTGCCCACCAAGGGTATCAAAACCCAGTTTCTAGTGTTGTAAGTCCACAGACATACCGCTGTGCCACTGGTGTGCCAGAAAAAAATTAACAATGACATGTGAAATAAGTACTTTATCATGAAGAGGTTTATATGTATATTGTATATCAGAAAAAAAATCATATTAATGAAGTAAGCAAAGGAAGAAAATGTTTATACTTAGTTTTATTAATTTAAGTAGTACATATATTTAAAATAACATTTATAATCTTTTTTTTAAGCTTTAAAAAATTTAATATGTACTACATCTTGAAAAAGCTGAAACATACATATTTATTCACCTCATTTTTCAGGTAAAGAAAAAAGTTAATAAAGTTGAAAAAAGGATAATGCAATTTTTCATTTTGAGGCTTGTAACTGAAACAGTGCAATATAGTTTCTCAATTTAAATGGAAATGATTAAAGAACAGGCATACATATACTTTAATTTTTAGTTACTGATTTAATGTAACACACACCAAAGAAAAATCTGTCAGCAAGCATAACCATGAAATTAAGAATATTGAAAATGAAACATCGAATTAAGATATATGTAATCTGAAACATGCTGAGAACAAAACCAAGCTTACGCAATTAAAACCTTACGGTGAGATGGGCCGTCCTCATCGCTGAGAAAAGCATATAACAGAGATAAAGTTTAGATATGATTGTATAATTATTTAGAGGAAAGAAATATAAATAAATTATAATTATGTAAATATAAATATGTTTTTGGGGTAACTTGCAATTAAAAAATTACAAAAATATGTGGACTGGATAGAGATTTGCGAAAGAAATTCTTTCATCAGAATTTTTTTGTGCTGATTTGTTGCTCTAAAATATATTATTAAGCAATATTAGTAGAATATGTTGCTAAACAAATAGACAAATTCACAAATTTAAATAGAACTTTCACTGATCAGTCAAACTGAAAGTGTAAATGAGTCATCGTTAGCTATAGAGGTTCTCTTCGTAAAATAGAAATTGGAAGACTTCCTCTAATAATTAATATAAATGTATATGTTTGATTACAAATATTCAACAATAAAACTACTTGATTATTAAATCATTTTCACAGAAATATTCTGAAATATTCATAATAATATCACTCATAAGTCTTTTCAACTTTCTTTACGATATATCCAAATATTGCCCCTGAAGAAAAAAGGGTCCACCTTTCAAAAGCACTCAGGATAAAAAGTATCATATCTCTGTGTTAAACTACTTCTTCAATCTACATTTTTCCTAGCATCATGAATCCAAACGTTATTTTGTCCTTATGATAAAAACATCATTCTCTATGTAAATAGTATCACAAAATATATGAATATAACTAAATTGATAAACACCATTAATTATGGATTGAATTAAGAAGTGAAAAATTATTGTTTTCATAATGAAAAGAAACCTAAAATATTTTGTTATAGCTGGAAATTCAAAATCTAATAAGACTATGAAAATAAGCATAAAAATTGAAAGAATAGTGTTGTGTGAAAAATTTCAACCTCAATTTTTTTCAATTCAAAAAATGCAGAAAAAAGGAAATGAATGGAGATAGAATTAACATAAGAAATCTTCTAAAGTGGTTGCTACACAGAATAGTTATATACAAAACATTTTAACATGTGAGCATGTATTTAAACTTTGCAAAACATCACATAAATTTTAAAACTAATGAGATAACATACTACAGACTGATGAAAGAACAACTGTTTTCTGAATAGTAAGATCATTTTCTATAGAAGATGTGACATGTGTTTCAACACTGGAACATGGAGACAAATCTATGATTGTGTAGTGATGTTTATTTCTGTTGAAGAACCTACATATTGTCAATACCAATGGATTTTAGAAATAGCAGTAGTATTACAAGACTCACACAGTATCCAACAAATTATGCTTAATTAGTCTTAGATTTAATTTTCAGCAGGATAATGATATAAAACATACTGCATGAGTAGCTGAATAAAACATCTCTAGAGGAAAGTGAAAAATTGTTGTAATAGTTATGAAACAGTCATCTCATGAATCAATGCTAGCTAATCCAACTGAAAATATGCTGAATCAGTTGAAAAGTAATGTTATGAATGAGAATTAATAAGCTAACTAATATAAAGCAACTTTGGAAGGTTGTATCACAAAACATGAATGAAAATAATACTGATTGCAAGACTTAAGAAACTGGAAGAATACTGATTGATGTAGTTAAGGCTAAAGGAGAACCTACTGCATATTTGATATTCAGTCTTTCTGATTCCTAAATGAACTATTTAAGCCTATTATATTGAAACGCTAATATAATAAGTAAACAGTTTACTTTTTATAAACTTTCTTGTAAAGTTGATCATTAGCACTTTAGGCTCAAAATTATGACCTGTACTGTAAGTTTAATCTATATTCCACACACATATTTTAAAATGATACTTCAATAATCCTTTACTCAATGAACTTTTTTTCAAGATCACCATTGTAGGCTGAAATTAAGATTTCAAGCAGGCAAATTAGATAGCATTTTCTGTATTTGTATGATGGCTCTACGATGGAAAAAAAAATTTTCCTTTCCTTCCACATCTTCTTTTGTGTGATTTATACAAAAAGCATAGATTATTTGTAATAAAAATCAGTTTTATGACATAAAACCTGAAAACACAAAAAATCTTTACCCAAGTTTAGTTAATCTAGCTTGTTCTTTTGCCTTCACAGAAGTTTTCAAGTTTCCATGATGACACATAATGAATACTGCTATACTCAAGAACACCATATTGGCCTGAAAGAAAACAAAAACTAAGATCAATTTGGCATTGACAACAGTACTTATAGATTAAAAATTCATTCAAATAGCTTTCTGCATTCTCAATAATACATTTCATCAATTACTTTTTTGCAAAAACATAAAATATGAGGTAATAAATAAACAATAATTTTAGTAGCAAAGTAAGGATGAATAACAATAAAAATACTAAAAAAATGATATAATCATTTCAAAATTGTCAAGAACTTTTTTTAGCTTTGTAGATTATTAAGGAATGCTTCTTGCTAAATGCTAAGAGTTTAACTTAACTGATAAAATTTTAAACTTTTTAATATCTATAAATGGGTGAATTTTCAGAAAACATTTATTTAAAATTGCCATATAATTTAATTTGTACACAGAAAAAGTTTTTTTTAAGGTTTTCTATATTGAAAAATAACAAGTAATGGTCAAAGCTCATGAAAATCTTTTATAATACATTTTTACACTAGAAAAAAGTTATTAATAGAAATATTTATATACTAAAATTTTTCTAAAAAAAAAGTTGTAATTAGGTTTTTAAAAGTGTAGATCTTTTATAGGCATGAAACAACTTATAAACCATTTCTGTAACAGATTAATATATTAAAAACCAATTACCAGCAAAATTGCTATAACAGGTCCTACGAAGCTGAAAATAAAATAGTTGTCGGCCTTCAACCAACAATGGTGGTCAGTGCCATAGCTATGAGAATCTACTGCTGCTGAAATAGAAACAATAAGAGCAGGCACTCCATATCCCAGCAAATAAAACCACTTCACTCGAGATTTATCTGACTCAAACACTTCAACCAGCATTATGTACAAATGGAAGCCTTCTAAAAACATCCACACAAAAGCAGCCAGAAAGATGTAATGCAAAAGTCCTGCCACAATGCTACATAGAACTGGGACAGCCGTTTGGTTGATACCAGCTACAAACAGGACTTCACCCACTAGGAGACAAAGACACAAGTTTTTGTGGATTGTTGTTCGATCATTCTGCAAGGCCCTGCATCACATAAAAACACATATTGTTGTAACACAATCAACATTTGTTATTTAATCAGTTTTCAAAGTTATACACTAATAATTTATTAGTTATACAATTTACCAATCAACTAAATTAGATCCATTCTTTCAATTTTCTTTTGAGCCAAAAACAGGAAAGTGCATGAAAAGTAATGAAAGACTTTTTGGTAATCAAAAGTGATGCTCAATCCTTTAGTTATACATATCTTTCTTATGTATGGTCTAAAATAAGGCCTATAATCATAGCTTTGCTGTAAATCCTAACACCTTATTATTCTAGAAAGCAGATTGAAAATATATTTGACTAACTAGATCAGGCCTCGACAAATATTTTCAAATCTAGGAGCCAGGTATGCCTAGCCCAACTTCACTACTGTTTGTTCTGGAAAATGAGGGATACACTAGTGCCTTGATTATCTGTGTCTCCATTATACATGATCCTCGATTATCTACAGATTTTTCTTTTTCCCAGAATTTTCTCAAAAAAATTGTACCATTACAATTCTAGACAATAATTCACATGTTTTGTAGAAATTGTCACTCAGAAATTAATTTTGGTTGAAAAAGTTCAGGTGTTGCATGATATCCAGAGTTTTCTGGCATGCATTCAAATCGTAAGTTGGCCAGTTCAAGTCTAGCCTCATCTCTTTTATATTTTGTTTTTGAGACAGGAATACAAAATATTTGAAGCTTGGTTAACTATATTTGACTAGTGATTAAAAATATAGTATAAAAAAGTACACATTAAGATTTCTTGAAGAGTTCACTCAAGTTTGGTTGTCGTCCACTGTTCTATGTTGCACAGCAGGCATCTTTTATTAATCACGGATGCATGTTCAGGTTGTGTTGGGGTGTCACCCAGTTACACATTGTCCTCTTCCCTACAGATATTTGGTATCTTTGGTCTGTTTTTAGCAAAGGCTTTTTCATAATAATTCCAAGCATGGTTTTACGATAATTTTTGACTTATTTTTCACAAGCATTGATCAGATGCAAATGCACTTCCATGTCTTTTGCATAAAAAGTGCTGTAATTCAGGAGCTATTTTTGCCTATGTTAGCAATTAAATTCAACTCAAACAGGAATGGGCAATCAAAAGAGGAAGTATTATAAAAGAAAAAGTGGAATTGGACTCGTGTAACTCACAAAATTTGTAGAAATCGAGCATGACTGACTGACCGACCGACCGACACTTGGCTTTTATGATTATGATTGTGACAACTTTTATAATTTTATTTATCATAATAATGTGACTAAACATCAGTAAAAAGATCATAATTTAAAATAAGGAACTTAAATATATTGAAAAAATTTACTCATATTAAACAATTGGCTAACTAGTGAGAAACACTAGTGCCTCGATTATCTGCTGTTTCTGTTATCCTCGATTTTCAGCTTTCCCCAGCACGGATAATCAAGGCACCAGTGTATATTTATTTACTTTCACAGTAATGCATGCATGCTAATGATCACACGATGTCAACAACCACATGATAGTATTTCCTGAACTAACTGCCTTTGGTCCCATCTGAATCTAAACGCACATAATGATTGGATAAATTGAGAGAAAAAAGAAAAACAAAAATGGCACAAAATTAGTAATGTGTTGTGTATCCACAGTGATTCATTCCTGAAAAAACATGAAGAAGTGCTGAATCTGCCATTAAAATCCTAGAAGTCAACGAACGAGAAAATAGTTCCGGACATCTAAAAGTCCAGAACTGTTGTAGATTCAATTTCTGTTTAGCACAGTCCTATGCTAAAATGGAAAAAAATACTAGGCACCATGATGCAATTTTTAGTCACCATGGTGATCTGGCACCCAGGATTTGTCAAGGCCCAAACTAGATATATGTGCACATTTTCTAGTGTTAATAACATAGGTAATCTTCTTCATTAAGGTACATACTGATAGTTTTATCTTATAAATGTTTTTAATGCAAAAAAAGTATTAATTTATCCCATTTATAACACATAACTGTATATCTGAAGCCAAAACCCAGCACACTTAAATGTACTTCAAGAAAACAGATTCTTCTATACACACAGTTTTTCATAATTATAACAACTTTCTGTTTCTTTAAACAGAACCATTTTAATATAATTTGTTTAGAAATTTAAAACATTTATACCTAAAGCACAGGAAGGTAATAACTGCCAGAAGAAGTGAAACGATGGAAATAAAGCAACCAACATATGTGATCACCAATAACGTTCTGCTGTACTCGGTAGGCAGCTGAAACAAATAGAAGGTAAGTTATTTAACTTCATCTGAAGATATTCTGGATAAATGGTTTCATACATAACATAGAAACTTCTCAAAAATAAAAATATATATATGTAATTTAGGTATAATACATGTCCATTTTGGGGTGAAAAAAAGTTTGTCTATGTGAAAAATATTTTTGTCTATTATGACTGATATATGTTCATCATGCTTTATAATCAACTATGGGAATATATATATTTTTTTTATTAAAGATGTTATAAAAATATTAAACTAGTCATAGTTTCCCTAATCTACTTATGTTACCTGTGATTAATTCCTGTGCTATGATTACAAGATGCAATTATGTTAATACTAGGAGAGGCATGCAAATTATAAATTCTTCTGCCAAAGAAAAAGTTTATGAATATTAATTATAATTCATATCAGTATTCCTTTTGAGGGTGAATTAACTAATCGTGCTCTAAAATATTAAATATATGATTTATTAGTAATCAAGATTGTAAAAATCTAATTTTTATTAACTCATAGAAGTACTTTTGGAAACAATTTCAGTCTTCAAATAATATTATTATAATAGTTATTTACTTTTTCATAAATTTCTAACTTTGCATATTTCACATTATATATGACTAAAGATAAAGCAATAATAATAATACATGTTATAGAGATAATGATGCACAAATTTTCTTAGTCCATGTTATAAATAATTAATATTACTGAGAGTTATTTGTACTTTATAAGAATGACTTCATATGTTAATGCAATAGTTTGTTGCCATAGATGTAAACTGTGACATCAGGGTAGCATGTCTTCAACCAATTGACTGTGCAATACCACCACTAATAAATTAGTGAAAGGAAGAACTTGACACAATCCTTTTTAAGGACATATATTCACATAGAGAGATTTTTAAACATTCTACTTAATGTATTG